GCCCCCTGCTGTGGCCCCGCCCCCCTCTCAAACCCTCAACAACAACAGCCAAAACATCACCGAGACCAACAGCAAAAGCACAGGTACTTCTCGCACCACATCAGCACTTAAGTAGCAGGAAACAGCCATAAAACGGCTATAAATCAGCCTTAAAACAACACATTTCTTATCTGTCGACAGCTAGTGGCAGTGTTTAGAAAGTGCCTTAGAATAAAGTTGTGGTCATATTTGCTGTTGTTCGTCAAATTTTCTTGCCCGAAATCCAGTCGTTTCATTAGGAATTCGGGAATTTCGTGTCAGGGCGAAAGATTTCCCCAAGCAGGGTTCAGGTTGGTCACGCAAATTTGCCACGTTGACCATCAGCAATCTGCCTGGTTTGAAAGTGACTTTTTTGTTAGCTGTCCTTAATACATCACAAAGGACAATGGACCTTTTTTTGTCTAAGAAATTTAGCAAAAGTTTTAGCACAAGTCTGCTTTCAGCAACCACTTTTATTCCCATCGAGCAAGTGATATCTCATGGATCGCTCGTTTAAACCAGTGGTATACAAATGGCCAATATAATGTACATGAATATGTAATACAACTACCAATTGCTGGAACTGGAACAGGTTGGCAAAGCAAGCATAATTGATGCTGATATATAGTTACACATTCAACTCATTAAACTCAGCTGTGTATGCCACCTTTTACAATCACTTGATTTGTTTTCCTAAATTCTGCCAACTTTAGGTTATATTTCTAATGTTAAATCCATGCGGATTCAGGTTCAGGCATACTAAAATATTCCTATATATTTGAATCATTTTCTAGTTTCAATCTAGAGTGGACCATCCATCAGCTACCACAGTTGTGTTCCTCAGTAAAACATTCAGGATTTGGATTTAAACATTTTAAACTCTTAAAGGGTTGTAATTCGAAAGTTGGTGTCTGACTTTTTATCCCTCCAGGGACAGAGCCAGGTGTTCGGACAGTGGAGATCACACGGGTAAGACCATTTACCTCCCTACACCTCTGTATGTGCTCAGTGGTTTGGCTATCATGCTCAATAGTTACAGTTTTACTGCACCCTTGTCTCGCTCTCTTAGGGTCCCACTGATGCTTTGGGTGTGAGTATAGCGGGTGGTAAGGGCAGTCCGCTGGGCGACATCCCCATTTTCATCGCCATGATCCAGGCCAACGGCGTGGCTGCCAGGACACATCGCCTCAAAGTACAGCATCCTTGCCTTTACCATTCCTTTCTATTGCTCATTTTCCACTTTCTCCTGTGTAAATCAGGCAGAGAGTTATTGATTAAGCATCATACAGTGGTTTGGGTGTGAAGGGCACTGCTGGGGATTGGGTTTGTATCAGTGTGAATGAATTTCAAGCAATTTTTCCTTTAATTTACCTCTCTTAGGTAGGTGACAGGATTGTGAGCATCAACTCTCAGTCTCTGGATGGCTTGACTCATGGGGATGTCGTAAATATGCTGAAGAATGCGTACGGCACCATCGTCCTCCAGGTACACGTTCAACTCAATAACACTCTTTGTTCATTAAATTGGCCTGCTTTCGGATGTTTACTATTTGCAGCGGCATAGTTCATGATGTAGACCACTCAAACAAATCAACCAATTTCTGGCTAAAGGCTTGTTTACACCAAGGACGTTGACTATAATGATAACGATAAACATATAGTTTTAAAAATCTTTCTACTATATCAACCAAAACGATAGCGGTTCAAAGAAACAGTATTGTTGGAATCATTTTCAGAGCAATTTTTGTACGTTGGTGTGAATTCTAATATAGTTACCGTTAAAGTTATCTTTATAGTTATCGTTCTTGATGTGAACGGGCCTTAAGTACCTTTGGGCAAAAACATACTTTCGCAAGTATGCAAACATGACTGTTCTGACAAAAGCATGGTCCATTGTTTGTACATAAAGTGCATTCTTGCGTTATTGTTGCGTAACTTATTTTAATTAACTCGCTCAGCAAGATTTTCTTCAAATTATTGCTCTGACATGACAGCAATTGTCCTTACTGTAAAAGCTTACTGTAGCTACAATGCCCCCTTGTGTTATGTTGTGAATTCTTCGCAACAGAGCGATTTGTGAAACCTAGCTTTATTAGCTAGAAGTGTTTGCGTTTACGTGCTGGCATAGAGTACATTGCTTCTTCTTCTTCTGCTAAACAGTTTTGGATGTACTAGTTTAACGAAGTGGCAAGGCTGCGAAGCATGCAACCTACAATTCAAATTAGCTACAGCGTTCTCGCTCGCTGGTTAGCTAATGAGGGAACTCACATTAGGTAATGTGATTTGAAGACACTATATTTGTTAACAGGATCACGCCAGACAGTCCGTGGGTTGAACTTGAACTTTAAAGAAGCTGCTGGCGCTGAACAGACCCTCCGACTCGTCTGGTGTGGTGCGCGAAACCCCCCACATTTATTCCGAATGTTTTAGGAGTCGTTTGGTGGGTTTCTTCTTAATCCCAAGAAATTTCACGTAACCCACTGCAAGCTTGGTATAGCACCCTAAGTTTGAATGTGGAGTTTGTATATGTTAGCATTTATTGGTAGATATCAGAAACGAAGGTCACCATATTAAGTATACCATGGTACTTTTTTTGTAAGTGGTGTATCGTGGTGTTTTTGCATGTAACTGCGGTTTCAATGATGTTTGTATACATGCGTGTATTGTGTGCTGTTATTGCTATGCAGAGCCGGCGTGTGTGTATATGTTCTGAATGGTTATCAGTGTGTGTTAGCGGAGTCGGTGTATTGAAGGACAGTGTGCTGTGTGTATATGTGTGAGTGCGTGTTTGTTTGGACTCATGGTGGTGTGTGTGCGAGTGGTTGTTGCTGTGTCACTGGGCTGTTATCAGCTGTGTGCAGCTGTGCGGCAGTTGCACGCGGGTTGCCAGATAATCCCAGTCCTTTATGCAAATGTTCCGTTATCTGCGTGGTTCCAGGAGGAATGCACAGGGCTTTTAAACAGGGGAGCCCAGCCTGCAAAGCCCTGATTACAGCAGTTCAGAGAGCAATTATTGTTTAGCTCTCTCTCTCTCTCTCTCTCTCTCTCATTCATTCCCTCTTCACTTGTTTGAGAGAGCTTACTTTCTCTCTCTCTCTCTCTCATTAATTCCCTCTTCACTTGTTTGAGAGAGCTTACTTTCTCTCTCTCTCTCTCTCATTAATTCCCTCTTCACTTGTTTGAGAGAGCTTACTTTCTCTCTCTCTCTCTCACTCTCTGGCTGCTATATGTTTAATTGGACATATGTAATGCCCTGTGCTATTACTCATGTCACAGAAATCAGATAAATTGATATTGTTTTGTCATTCTGCCTGTGATAATGTGCTTTTTTTTGTTGTTGTTGAGAAATTTAGTTGTTCCACCCTACTGAAGTATATATCTCTCACCAACTCCCACTTTGTCTCTAGTTTTCTCTCTTTTACTTTTTCTTTTGCAAACACAAGTAACTAACTATAACCATTGCTCATTTTTGTTTTTATAACTATTGCTCATTTTTATGTTTGTTTTTTATTACTAAAAAATTACTGCATAGCAATGTGCTATAAAACACCCAGAACCCCCTAGCAACCATCTAATAGCATAGCAACATTCTGAAAACCACTTCAACACTTGAACTGCATAGCAACACCTTAGCAGTGTAGTAAATACTGCTTTAAACACTCAGAAAGTGCATCGCATCACATTGCAATGCCTTGGCAACCACTCAGAACACCCTAGCAACAGACTAGTAGCCACAATGTAATTTTCTATAAACCACTCCAAACCACCAACTGCATAGCAACACCCAAAACACCACCTGGCAACTGCATCGCAACAGCCTGGTCATTAAATAAAAGTCTTGTTTAATAAATGGGTTTTATCAGTCATTTATTGGCAATTAATGTTACACCCTAGCAACCACCAATTTTCTTTCTCTCTTTCTTTTTCTTTCTTTCTTTCTTTTTTCTCATTCTCTTTTAACACTTTTTTTCTTTTTCTGTTTCTCTTTTCTTTTTTTCAGCCTCTTTCTTTTTTCTTTCTCTTTTATTAGTGTTCCTCTTTCTTTTATTTATTTATATTTCTTTTTTCTCACTCTTTTTTCCTTTTTTGTTGGCTTCTTTCTTTTTTCTCACTTTTTCTTTTATCACTCTCTTCTTTTTATTTTTTTATTGGCCTCTTTCTTTCTTCCTGTTCTTTCTTTTTTAACACTCTTCTTTTTTTTCTTTTTCTTTATTTCTATTTCTTTATTTTCTTTTTTCAGCCTCTTTCTTTTTATCAGTGTTCCTCTATTTATATTTCTTTTTTCTCACTTTCTTTTCTCACTCTTTTTTATCAGCCTCTTTCTTTCTTTCTTTCTTTCAGTAGGTGTAGGCGAAGATAGCGAGTGTGATGACTTGGAAGTGTTTCACTGTTGTTGTTTACTCATTCATTAATTAGCTTTTGTTTATTGTTGTGTATTTTACTTTTAATTGCCTTGCCGTTAATTAAATATGCAAATTAATATGCCTCTGCCCTCATAGCCAGCCCTGAGTTTAATGGAAGAGGAAAGTTTAAATGAAACATGACAGAAAAGGGCATTTTTGATTCTGGTGAGGGAGACAGAGTTTTGATGAACAGCGGCTGAGCGATCGGTCGCTAACAGTCACCAAGAAGAACATTAAAGGATTGTAAGGATGCATTTCAGTGCCACACACACACACAACATAGAGAGCAGTTTCCTGTTATCTACAGGCAGACAGTCATTTGTGAAAACACACACATGTCTAAATGGAAGGAAACACACTTTCAAGACTGAGTCATTTATTTGCTTTAAATGTTTGACAGTGTCCATCTGTGATTGACAGGTGGTTGCCGACACCAACATCAGTGCCATAGCCAGTCAGGTGGAGAGTCTGTCCAGTAGCTCCACCCCAAGCACCAATCCAGAGGTCCGGCCGGTGGAACCAGAGTGAGTGACATCACCGTGGCAACAAGACTGTTTGAGTGTCCTGTTTGACCTTAAACATTCCGTTACAGTAGCCTCAGGTGATCATGTGATTTTGTTCTGTGTGTGTGTGTGTGTGTGTGTGATACTGACAGGACGCCCAAGCCAAAGACCATCACTCTGGAGAAGGGCTCAGAGGGGCTGGGCTTCAGCATCGTGGGCGGCTTTGGGAGTCCACATGGAGATCTTCCTATCTACGTCAAAACCGTGTTCAGCAAGGTAATTCCTGTAGGATCACATTTGCAGATTAAATTGAACTAAACACACTTGGGCTGCAATTACACTGGCACAAAAATCAGATTTTTTGCTCACAGATTGGAATTTGTTGCACACGTGTAAACACAAATCCACACAAGATCCGATTTTTTCGCATCCGATCTGAGCCACTTCCAAATGTGGATTTTAATCGGATACATATATGATATCTGGACATCCGACCTACGTCTAAACACACATATCCGAATCTACACAGAACTCCCAATGCGAGGGCGACATGTTTGCCCATAAAGATAAATAAATAATTTCTTTCTTTCTTTCTTTCTGTCATGTCTCACTCCTATTTTCCTGGGGGATTTTATTGCTTTATTTCTTTCTCTCATCAGTCTTTTTCTTTCTCAAACACTCTTTTTCATTTCAATTAAGTTTTTCTTTTTTCAAGGATTGTCTTAAATTTGCTGAATAGAATGTTTGAATATTTGTATTGTTTTTTCGTTCAATTTTGAATATATACATGTACATGTAAATGTATTTATTTTTGTTTATTGTAGCAATAAATATAATGTTTATAATGTGTGGAATATTGTAATTTATAATATTATTTTTATATTGATTAAACAGTTACTCTCTCTATAGATAGATAGGTAGTGTTTTTATTGCTAACTAAAACTATTAAAAACAATTTTTGTCAATTGAAAAAAACTGAAATAAAACAATATAAATATTACATTAAAAACAAATGAAAATTATAAAATGTTTCATTGTCAACTAACTGAAATAATGTTTAAGTTGAATTACTAAATTTGCTAAAACTGAGGTAAATATGTATCGCTATAAATATAAATAATAAAAAACTAATAACGCATAACCAAATTACTAAAACTTAAATTAAAATGAAAACTTATAGAAATATATATATATAAAGGCTGTTTTAAAATAATATTAAATAAAATAACAGTAAATAGCACAAAAATAACACTGATATGTAGTAATTAATATTACTTTTTTTATAACAGGCTGTTAAAATCAAAACATTTCAGACACTTACTTATTTTTGCTTAAATGTTCAGAACCCTGCATATACATACATATGTACAATATGAAAAGGTGGATGTGTAAAACAGATAAGAAATGTATATTCCTACAGCATGTTGCTATGTGCAGACTGTACTCTGTTCATGCTCTGGCCACCAGGTGGCATCATAGAGCTCTGTTTCACAGGAACATAACCAGCAATAACTCTTGTCAAACACTTCATATTCACACATGATTTGTGTTTATGTGATATGATTCTTCTGATGACTCTTCCAACCCCACTGGCAGTCCATGAATGTCCTTCACGAACATATTGTTCGAAGAAAACATATTTGAAAATATGAAAGTAATATATCATTTAAATATTATTTATATATAATCATATTTATATGTAATAATTCAGAATATTCAATATTATGTATATACATATAATTTAAATACTATATAAGGATATTTCTCAAATGTGTTACATTTAATGGTCTGCATTATGGTCAATTGGTCACATTTAATTCTGTGAATTAATAAATAATATTGTCCTCTTCTTACCTACAGGGGGCAGCGGCGGTGGACGGGCGTCTGAAACGCGGTGACCAGCTGCTATCGGTTAATGAAGAGAGTCTGGAGGGCGTCACACACGAGCAGGCTGTGGCCATACTGAAGAAGCAGCGGGGAAGCGTCACGCTGTCAGTCCTCTCCTAACAAACACACTAAGGACTACATCCACTGAAAAACACACACTTTGCATCAGCAGCGGCCATTATTCGGCCACCTTACTTCCTGATATGGAGACCATTTGCACTCGATCGTTTAAACTCCGCCATCTTGCTGTTTGTGCACCTGGTATCGAAATCAATCCGAAAAATACTCATAAAGGGAAATTACTGTATCGTCTTTGTCTTAGTCACAGACATGTAGCCTCTCCACTGGTGACAGTGAGCAGGTGAATATTAGAGAAGGTTATTTTGATGAAATGAGTGCTGGTAACTCAAGACCAGGAGGAAAAATTAAAGTAGCGGATGCACAACACACACTAACACACGCAATTTGTTTGTAATTATCTTTTCAGTCCACATACAATAACTTATAATGTGGTTATAATGTATAATGTGGTAATCTTGATCTTTTAATTTAAAACAATATGTACATGACCTACTGACAAACCAACCCTATTTACAAGAAATCAGATTAATTGTATGTAGTAGATGAATTCATGGATGAGCATTAATACGGGATGACAGACGTGCCTTGGAATGGGCAGATCAGATTGTAATGGGATGTTTTGTTTAGCTAGTATTAAGATATAAGGATCATTTAAATCAGGTTCTTTACATTGCAGGGTAGCTTTGTGATTATTTCAAGAAATAGTTCATTAAAAGATGAAAAAAAAACATCCCTGATGTTGCTCCAAACCTGTGTGTTACTCTTTCTTCTGTGGAGCTTAAAATTAGATATTTTGCAAAATGTTCACGCTGCTCTCTTCCATACAATCAAAGTGGATGGGGACTGGAGTTTTTGTGATTCAGAAATGCCAACAATATCCATAAAATATCACTAAATTGTTCATATGACTCATGCACTACATTTTATGAAGTTGTACAATAGTTTGGTGTGACGAATGAACTGAAATTGATGTCGATTTTCACTTCAGAATTTCGGAATTTCAGACAATTCTTCACACAAAGCTACTAATGTTACTCATTTTTCATGTAAAATTTTATGTGGAACATAGAATTGGATGTTTTGCTGAATATTCACACTACTCTTTTTCCATAAAATAAAAATGAATGGAGACTGGCATTTTAGAAATTCAGAAATGACTTCATAACAATAAAAGTATTACAAGTTGTTCATATGAATTGTGTACGATAGTTTTGCATGAGGAATGAATTTAAGTGTTTTGTCTTCCCTGAAATAAAAATTTCAGACAATTTTTCATACAAAGCTATTATTGTAAGTCGTTTTCACTTTAAAATCTTTCTCCGAAATTAAAATTTCATACAATTCTTTTCACAGAGCTATTATTTTCCTTCAAGAGTCTTAAAAAGTTCCAGTCCCCATTCACTTTCTTTGTATGCAAAAGAGCAGCCTTAGCATTATGTTCTTAGCAAAATATCTCCTTTTAGGTTCCGCAGACGAAAGTAAGTCATATGGGTTTGGAATGACATATGATGACAATTTAAATTTTTGGGAGAAATATTCCACTCTATTATGTTTCTATGGTGTATTGAGAAATGCATAAATGCATAACATATTTTTTTTTTTTACATTTTTGTAATTCCATTTGTAATTAATTTGCACACGTCTATCATTTAATTGTAAATATGTAATTTATTTCCTTTTTTAGGGTGTTTTTGCATCGCTTTTGTCTTTATGAAAATGTCTCGCACATCCTAGTTTTACACGGTGTGTGTCTGTGTGTCACAATATGAGGATATCCTGTGTCAGTCTCTCTCCTAGAGGAAGTGTAGCAGGCTCTTCAGAGACTATCAGGGCTCTCCAGGTTGTAGACAGCGTGTGGAAGCCTCGTCCAGACCGTCTCTTCCACTAGGATTTCGTAAGCACATCCTCATATGATGCCTCTTGAATTTTTGTGCCATGTGGACAGTGTGTTCTGAACTGTCCAGCACTACGTCCCTTTAAAAAGATTGCCTGTATCTCCTATGCCTGTCTTCCCCTTTCTCCTTAAAGAAATGCAACGCCCCAATCTGCTACCTTCAGCTAGATCTTTACATTTGGGCTGTGAACCACAAAAACCGGCTTGAATCATGTCGAATCTTCAAATCGCCCTCAGATGACTCGAGTAGTAACAGCTTTTTATCAGACATTTTTCTGTCAGTGTAAAGTCCAAAGAAACCATTTAGTTAAATTCATACATTAGATACAGATCTAAGCCTGAAATAAAGCTGATTTATTAACATTTGCAAAACAAACAAGTGGTCATTATGGTCTTTGACTTTATTTTGGACAAGTATAGAATTTATCTAAAGTGTCAAAAAATAAAGTTATTTTCATTTTAAGCGTTTTTTTTACATTTTTAATGATTTTATTTTAAGCTTTATTTTAAGGTTTTAAAGCACAAGAAACATTCACAACACCTATTTCTGCACTTTTTGACATGCACTACCATTTAAATTATTAGTGACCGTAAGATATTTTTTAAAGAAAATTATTTTGTTCAGCAAGGATGCATTACATTTAATCGAAAGTGTAAGACATAATGTTGCGAAAGATTCATATTTCAAATAAATGCTGTTCTTTTGAACTTCAGTCATCAGAAATATTTCCACAAAAATATTAAGCAGCACAGCTGTTTTCAACATTAAAAATAAATGTTTCTTGGACAACAAATCAGAAAGATCAAGTGACAGTAATGGCTGCTGAAAATTTAGCTTTGAATCACAGGGGAAAAATACATTTAAAATATATATTAAAATAGAGAACAATTATTTTAAATTATAATAAAATTTCACCATATTAGTTGTTTTCACTATATTTGATCAAATAAATGCAGCCTTTGCGAGCGTAAAAGACTCAAAAACATAAAATCCTATATGATCCAAGACTTGAATGGTAGAGGATATTATTTTATGAATATTATTATTAATTATTATTCAAAGAGGTTTGCACAACAAAAATCAGTGAGATACTGAATGTCTGATATTACACTAACATGTTCACAAATTGTTAGGACAACGTCCTCTAGAATTAACTAGTCGATTAAAAAAAACTGCAAAAATCACTGCTAACCTTTGGTACAAGATGTCAGCTATTAAAATGATAACTTATTACAATAAAAAGTAAGGTTAACATGGCGTGCTGACTCAGCTGATTGTGGACGTTTCCTTGAGATTACATCTCAGTCACTTTTTCATCGGTTTGGTGAACTTGATCGTGTTCTCATATGCTTTAGGGTCTTCGCTGCTCCTGAAAAACAATTGTCTCAACTCCAGAGATTAATACATACATTTTAATGGGAATATTCACTCTTTTTCATTCCTTTTAATCATTGACATTTAAATTTTAACCTTTTAAACTTTTAATCTGAGAATAATTTCAAGAACATCATGTTAAACAAAGCATCAGATGAGGCGTTTATTCAGACTGAACATGGTTTCAGGCCGTCAATATTTCTCATGCAGTTTCATTAATGATAGTGTATCTTTTTACAGGCTTGGATCACTCTAAGTTTTATAACGGCTGTATTATTGAGGTATTATTACCTGACTACGTCAAGACTGGTTTCACGGTTGATCCATTAGTCATGGCGTATTCAGTGGGCACTGCTTCTGGTTTGCTTTAGTCAACAAAGACAGATTCAAATGTTTACACAGACCAGCTTTCGGAAACTAGTTGCTAATTAAAATAAGTGTATTACATGAACTATAAAGACAGATAAACATGGTTTGTGAGACTTTATAGTAACCTACATTTAGACATGTAGGCTCCCAGCAAGCAATAGCCGTAATTTCAACGTCTCGGTTAAGTATAGACCCGATATAGTCCGGCTATGTGTAACCCACTTCTAGCCCAAATAACCTTGAATTTGGTTTCATGTCGTT